GATGGAACTGTTAGAAATGAAGGCTATAAAACAGGAAGTCAAAAACTCCCTTGAAGGAGGTTTCTAGCAGACTAGGTCATATAGAAAATCGAAACTCAGATGTAGAAGATAGAATCACTGGCCTAGAAAAATCCACACGAAGAATGAGAAAATTGTCAAAAAATATGAGAATAATATACAAGAAGCACTAGATTTGGATTTGGATCTAGAAATACTAGATGAAACATCCAAACATCCAGATAATCGGTATCCCAGAAAGTGAAGAGACTAATAAGGGCATTGATAATCTATTCCATGAAATCCTGGAAGAAAATTTTCTAAACCTAGTGAGGCGTTCAAAGATCCAGTCCCAGGAAAGACAAAGGACCCCAAAGAAAATCAACCCAAGAAGATTTTCTCCAAGACAAATTATAACCAGATTGGCCAAAATAACGGACAAAGACAAGATACTAAGATTGGCAAGAGAAAAACGTCAAGCACATATAAAGGATATTCCATCAGGCTAACAGCAGACCTCTCATCGGAAACCAGATGAGCAAGGGAAGAATGGGAAAATATATTCAAAGTGTTTAGTGGAAAACAATTTCAGCTAAGAACGCTATACCGTGAGAGATTATCCTTCATACAGGAAGGGAAGACAAGAATGTTCTCAGATACACAAAATATGAAAGAATTTACCGACACCAAACCAGTTCTCCAAGGAGTTATGAAGGGAGTGCTATATCAGGAAAACTAAAGTTAGACCCACAGAAATGAGAGTTAAAAAACATTTAAGAAAAGGGACAGTTTAATGGTAGGAACAAGTCCAGAGTTGAGTATTATCTTCCAAAATTGAAATGGAAAGCTTGGACCACAACAGAAGTTAGATTAAGTACATGAGACTGAACTGATGAAATAGAATTTTATGGCTTTTGACTGAAACAATACTGATCTTTTTCTATACTTTGTAGTCCAGAGAAAAGAAATTTCTTCTTCTCTTGAAGAAAAAAAAAAATTCTCTTGAAGAAAAAAATACTAAACTGCTTTCTGGCTTCAGCAAAGTTATCTTAACATTTTAAAATTTTGATTTATTAAAGCTAAAGCTGGGGCCAGCAGGTGGTATGGTGGATAAGGGTGCTGGATTCCCACATGGCCAACCATGGTTCAAGTCCTGGACCTGGTGACTTGCTTTCTCACTTTCCCTTTCTCTCTCTTTCTCATAAAATAAGAAAAATAAATAACAATAACAAATGGAAATAAGTAAAATAAATAATTATTTTTTTTAAAAAAAGTGGGAACCAGTAGTTAGCGTAATGGCTATGTCGCTGGACTCCCACGTAGTCGACCGCGGTTCGCGTCCCGGACCCGGTGGCTTAAAACTCATGCCAGGCGCGCGTGCATGCGTGCCCAAGATCCCAAGAGGAGAATGGAGCAGAAGGGATTGCAGCATAGCCATCCCCCTGGGGGTGATTTCTCACTTTCTGTCTCTCTGTCTCTGTCTGTCTAGCGAGCGCACGTGCCCTATAACAAAAACCTCT